GCCACGAATAATGTGTAGCTTGTAACTTGAAATACGTATCCTCTACTCGGTTTCGGTAGTGTTCAATTTGCCGGCTATGTATTATACCGATCAGCGAAGTCCGTTTTAAGCTTCGGCTTTCTGTCGAACCCACATTGCTATTTTATTTTTGAATTTACGAATAAGTTAAGCCTTCATGTTGAATGGTGAACGTTCAGCCATCAAACAACCTAAAGCTAAATAGTGCTCCCGCTAGTAATTTACGCTACTTCTAAAACCTTGATATTTTAAACACGTTTATTTTTTGTATTTAGTTTATGTGTGTGTCAATCCTGCATCGTTTGACGCTTCGTATTTCTTTCTTATAATATTGACATTAATTTCATATCAAATCATAATAAACGTATTCATTTCCAGCCAGAAGAAGAAAAGTACCTTTTAATTTTTTCAACCTTTAAGTTTAAGAGGTTTAGCCTTTAAGTTTTCAAACATTTTATACGGATTATATTTTATAGACTGAAACAGTGCGATCTGTGGTGGCGTGATATCGTTGTACTAACGAAACGCGTAGAGTGTCCGAATCTATGGCTAGATGAATATTAGATAGAACGGTATTTTTACTACGACTGTGTAAATCAGAGTCTACTCGTAACAGATCCATCATTGAGTTTGTTAATTACGAGACATTTTTGTACTGGAAATGTAGCCAGTATTTAGCACAGAACGCCGGAGCACAGATCATTTGAGTTGGGTGTGCGAAGCTTGATTTCGGAGTTAAGGGGTTCTTCTGAAAAATCAGTGGTGATTGCAAACAGACAAATGATTGACGTTTCAAAGCACGGCAAGTCGGTACATTTCCGGTAGAACGAGCTATTGCAGGAAAATTAATTGGTTCATGAAAGACTATACATTGCGTGTTACCATCGTACTATTTTGCATCAGTATGATGTAAAGAGAACGTGTATCTCTTTATAAAATCGTTCACAATCGTCCCATGTTCGGTATTGTATTATCCTCTACATTTACCTATATGATCGACTTCGCTTGTTCTAGGCATGTCCCCTGTATACCGCAGTAGTTAACACGTAAGTTCATCTATAAAAGAGTCTATGGTTCCCGCCAAGCTTTGTTTTTATACCAGCTGCAGATCTACTTCGCTGGTGGGCGTTCGACAGGTAATGTAGTTGACCGGTTCACGTGCCATTGGATAGTCATTGAACTAATTAAGGTGTAAATATGGCGTCTTCGACAAGCAAAGTGATATCTCTACATCCTCTGTGTTCTGAATCGCGTTTGCACTGCATCAGACAGCCGATTTTCAGTACGGCAAGAATGCACCTATTTTAAGATGAATATGTACCTAGCTTTAGTAGGCGGACAGGTCGTCATTCAACGGTCGCGGGAGCTACTTTTTTAGAGGTAGCTAAAAATGGTCAATTTCTTTTGATCACCAGGGCTAAGATGTTTACAGACACTTGTCAACAGACGTGGCCGACAAGTGTGGTGATGCTTCCTTATCCTTCTTGTGGCGGTCGAGTCCTCTGCTAATGGTCCTTTAGACAGTAGTAATAAGAACGCATCCTTTTATGACACGCTTCTTTCACGACGTTCTGGATTTTAAAAACAATTCTATAAGATCTAGCAATGTATGATAACTGCTGCTAAGCTTTTGCATGCATGCTTGGCCTAGTAACTTTAGCAGCTGAACAAAAGCGAGCCTTTTCGACAGCCGTGTCCGCTTCGGTTCATCTCACAAAGTAAGGGAAGGTCTTGCACTTTACCATTGAACCAGTACTTGTCTTTTCCCAACTCGTTCGCGACCTCCTACATAATTTACAGCATGTAGCTAACTATTACACTGTTTAAATGCGACTCACTTTGCCTTTGGCGTAGTCAAACTTATTCGTCGTGCACATTTACGAAATCGACCTGCGAAAGGGAAGGAAGGCCTTCTGTGAACGCACAGACCTGTTAGTACACGGTGTCAAACAGTTTCGTTGAGTTTACCAAATAAACTCTATTTCCTAAATCAGCACAGTGGTTGTAAAGGTGGGACACTCGTGCACAACTCGGTAGGGCCAGACCGTACGTTAGGCCTTTATCGAGAAAGTCTGTTTTCATTGTAAATGTGCGTTGTTTACTTCCATCCCACTACGGTCGCTTGTGGTCGCTCCATGAGGTTACGAAATGAGAACTTTTTGTTTTTTGGACGTCTCCAGTACACGTATGATATTGCTATAACCATTGGATATATTATTTAGGTTTTTATTTAAGTAAACTTGCTTGAATTTTTTTTTGCTAATTAGTCTAGCATTTGTATGTTATTTTCCATATCTCAGTCAATGGGCCGCGATTTGCGTTTCTCGCGAACCGAATACATCAGTGTGTTCATATGGGCACAGCTCTACGCCCTTAAGGCTTATTTGAGCTGCAATATTCAACTGCTACTTTTATTGGCCCGAACGTTGTTATGATAGTCAGTCATTTAATTCCTTCACCGATTCCTGATAATGTTCTTGCGCATGTCGGCTCGTCAGTAATTTCCCTCTGTAAGGACCCCTCTGCAAAAGCTGGAATTTACTGCAGTAGCATAGGTGGCATAACCAAGCGCAGACAAAACATCATCACCTCTGTTCTGACCCTAGCTGGAGTAGAGAATGGACAGCCCTTTATAAACAGACTTAGAAGACACGTCGATAAGTTGTGTGACACAATTTGTTTTGCAGAGTCTTATAGATGGCGACCATTCCAAAGCATTTGTTGCGGTCTGGGTTCAAACTATTACGCTCTAGCCATTCTTACAGCGACACGATTTAACTCCGACTAGTACCGTGCCTATTCGTAAAGCATACTGAGTTAATCCTATTACCATGTTAAAGGTGACAGTTCCGGGTCGCGTCAGGTCAATGTCAATGAACCTTAGCACAGATATGGGTTAACCACTTGTCACTCCCAGTTCATCGTCGATAGTTGCTTTAGAACTTTCGTTGTTACTGAATTTGGCTATTTTGTGAAGACAATTTGAGTCCGTGGGTGTTTGCACCTAATAAGGAGCACCCATGAACAGCAGGTTTTGGCAGGCATCGAAGGACGGATTTATAAGCTAGAAGGATTCTATCACACTAGACAGGACATACAGCTACATATTGTAGTTTCCTAGAAATTATTGGTTAAGGCGTGTAGTAGCCGACTTCAAGAACGGTATGTCCAGAGGTTTGCCTGCCCGCAGGTATCAATAACACCTTCACGGCCTTCCCACTTATTCAGGAGTCCATTTCACTTAAGTACATTATTTATTCGCCTATCTTCTGTAGCTTTCTTGGTAGAAGGCCGGTTTATCGGCCGTCTAGTTCTGTTAAGAGGATACAACAGGGCTCTTTAGGTTCATCTAGCTTCCATTGTTCGCCCATTTCTAAATATAAATTCATTCTGTACTACGGGTGCGAGCTGAGGTTAGAAGTTTTCGCCCAGAACAAGAGCCTCTTCATTTATTCTCTTCAGCTCCAAGTTAATCTAGTTGGTGACGAATTTCATTTGCCCAATGCGTATTTTTTAGTTTTTATACTGTCTTCATTAGACATTGACCTAGGCTTAAGTTTGCAGATCATACAGAAAGTAATAGAATTTTCAGAAGGTAATTAAAACTCGTCCGGATCCCATGACAACGATCGAATGTAGTTGTAGGTACTGTTCATCATTACTGTGAGTTGAAGTTTACCTTTTTTGTCAAGTTTTCTAATAAAATATACCTTTAATCACCTCTTAGTGCTGTTCATTTGGCATGCATATCACTTGAAATTAACTCTTCTGTTCAACAACAAAGAACAACTTCTGTTTTTTCAAAAGCTGCTCAAAAGCTGACGTCTTCGTTTGGAGATGCGTACGCAGATACTACCTTGGATCCAACTCCTATTCGTATAATTATCATACCTTTCCACACGCGGTTCTTCCGCTTTTGGAATGAGCTGCGCCCATCCGCTCTAATTGGGATGGATGTCAATTACTAGCGCTCACTACCCTCTGCCTCTCTGCGTGGATAACCTTTGTATTTCAAGCTTTACGACTACTATCGCTGTTAGGTATAAGTTCATGAGATGGCTGGCTCCCAGCAAACGAGGTCTGCCTATGCTTGGCTTGAACCTAGACAAGTGGTAAAGCCTAGAATAAGTCATTCGAGCTGCAGAGTACCTTCGGTACTGCATAGCACTACGGGCTTAACTTGCTCGTAAACGACTCTGATTACTGGCAGATTTTTCCTTTCATCGGCACCACGATCCAAGTGTGTTATAAGACTACACGTATTGACAGAATCTGAAAAAATATTTCAAGCGCAACGTTCGTTCGGCACAATGACATTTTCAAGCAGGCCACTCTTTAGGCCACCTTTCTCCTAGCTAAGGCCTGACGGAGAACCTAGGATCTTTCAGCACTGCCTAGTAAGCGGGCCGTTTTTTCAGCAATACATGTAGCTAAGCTACAGTCGGTCATTAACATTGCTTAATTTTGTCGCTTCCCGGGTTTCTCCGGAGTGTTTTGCAGTGGGCTGAGAATTAGCGTCATTTCGTATTATCTGATCATGCTCACCCGGACGCATCTTGACTACTTATCGTTTGAGAATACTCATATGTATGGTCGGGTTTGATTTTATATTAGCCGCCGCCATCATTACTTCATTTCGATTTGTACGACTCCGGCGCACTGCTTTGGGATCGCCTGAGCGTTCATTTTAACCATATCGGAGCGCGGGTTCTAGAATGGTGGGATTAACTATAATTTACGTATTTTGCTATCGCGCGAATCATTTAGTAAATAAGTATGTTCCTGGCTCATTAAGCGTGCGGGGCTTACCACCTCGGCTCGTGCAGCTGGTAGCCTCGAAGTAGTATCTCAAAAAAACATACGGATTGTATTGTCGTTGTTCTTGGAATAAGCCGAAAAAAATTTTCACATGATTTGATGAAAAATGACGTCCATTTTCTGTGTATTTTTTATTCTTATTATTCAATGATCTCCAGCACGCTTCGGCTGCACTTTTATGATTCTATCCTAGCATGAGAAATTAATTTTCCAACAGCCTAGCTATAATTAGCGTATTAACTGGAATAGTTTGCTTGTTCATTGAGCTCTTCCAAATCTCAACGCAATACTTGTCATTTCGATGTGCATGAGTCAACCTTAGCGTACAGATCGGTAGATCTAAAACCACTAATAGTTCGGATTCAGTGGCATTAATTTCTTTTGCCCCATCATAGTACAAAGTCTGGTCGTTCCGTTAATAGTTTGTTCTTAGCATGACCTGTTTCAAGCGATTGTTGTACATGTCTCTCCGTGCATTTTCATGCTTTCAAACAGCTCCTGCTTGGTGTGTATACGGATCCTTCCATCATCCTGCCCGTCGACATCGTGTAAACGCACATCGTCTCCGTGCACGTTGGTCTCCATGCTCCTGCCTTGTGTGGTTTCGTCGTCGTTACTATATTACGAACGTCATTCACGATAGCAACATCATCGGTTTTCGAAGCACCAGGGCCTGACTTGGATGGTGCCGCGCCTGAGCGGGCCAATTCTTTCACAGTTGAGTTGTTAACCAACGCTGAATTAAACATATTTATGAATGATGAGCGTATCTGTGCTCGGTGGATTATCTGTGTTAAACTGACTCGAGGTCTTGCGTTGTTTCGAATACCTTTTCTCCCTTTTGAGTTTCGCTTCTGGAAAATGAAATTTCAATGAGCACTTTTTTGTTTACAATAATCTTGGGTTCTATATGTGCGTCTGGATCAGTGAGCAGCCATTAACAGGTTAGTGCGCCTTAGCAGTTTCGCAAGAAGCTTAGGCGTATTGCATTGCAGTTGAAAAGATTTAATGCGTTATAGAATGCACCAAACGAATGTATAGCCATCGGCGGTGAGTGCATTCAATGGAGGGCATAAATAGTGGCTCAAAAATCAAACCGAGAATGGAAAAATGTCCATGTCTTCCAGAAATAGTTATTTAAGCCTCCGATATGCACAGAGCACAACAATAATAAGAAGGAACACTAAATTTGAATTCATGTACACAAAATATGGTCTTTTCATCTTTTGTAGTTATTTTTCCAATTGATGCTACATATCTCGCAGTTTTCCCAATATGCTACACTTTTCAACAAAAAAAAAAAGAGGACGTATCGCAATTTCATTGCCGAACCTCGTCAGAGTTAACGCGGCAACCAGCTGTCGCCAATATCTCAAATATCACATAGCCAAATTTGAAATATACTTTGTTTTCCCAATGGCAATGTAATCTATTCCATTTAATAATTCCCGCGCAAGGGTGTTGGTTCACTCAGATGTTCTGTGGTACATTTTAGTACCACAAGAAAGACTGTGTCTTCGTTGATTCGGTACCATGTAGCTGCATATGGGATTTCACCTGAATCGTTTGATTTTTGGTATTCTTGCACGTGCCAAAGCTAGCAGTGAGCTAGCCAGCTAGCTTCGTTCCTGTAGACGTAGGCTGTTCTCGTCGTGGCATCTATTTCGTTGCTATAAATTGTCAGGAACCTATTTTGTCGACCTTCTGTAGTCACATTCGAGATTTGCCCTTCAATATATGTGTCATGTCGGCCCAGACTCGCGTTTTCGTTGACAGAGAAGTAAGGCGATATATGCTCATGTTTGTATAGTTCCTTCACTTCGCGGTTTGTTACACAAATAGATTTGTTTATTAGTAATTATAATTATATTAAAAACACAACATGCTTATTCTTAAGCAACGTTTAGTTCTAGCCATTAACAAAGTTTAAACATTGCTCCCGCAAATAATAATACAAACATATTGACCCGTAGCACAGATCGACAGGCAGCACAACTCAGACAAAAAGCCCATGTACAACCAACAGCCGAATTAATACAGATTTTGGCAGCTAGATCGAGAACAAAGGCATCAACCAGTGAACATTTGTTTGTGTGACTGTAATCAATACCTGCAATGAAAACGTAGAGTTTTATTAACAGACAATACCTGTTTGTTTCTCGACAGAACTCGATTCGTTCCATGCCAGAAAGACATAGGTAAGCGAACCCTTTCAACGTCAAAACGTTACGGACTTCTTCATAATGAGTTCGTTTTATTAAACCTCAGATCGAATATTATCGTCGTGTACTGCCAATATGATACGGTTGTCTATTAAAATTATTTTCGACGACTCATCATCCATAGATTGATTTTTACTGGCCCGTAAAAAAAATATATGGATATGACAAAAGCATATCTACCATAAGTGGTACCGGATCCAATTAGGGTAAACCAATTTTACCTCACGTCAAATAGGCTGCCCTTGTTTTTCAAGCAGTGTAAGGAAACACGTCGAAATAGGTTCAAATCAGTCGGCTGGGGTACCGCTAGGACCACACGATACGAAACGTAAAATGCTGATCCTTAAGCTTTAAAAATACGACATGATGGCGAAAGCGGTCCAATGCAAGTAAAATCCAACGCAAGCCAAAGTGCTTCTAATACAGCAGTAGTTTTGGTGGAGTATCTGACGACGTCTCTGAAAAATTTCAGGGAGCGCTTTGTAATAGTTTATCGTATATTTGTGTTTAGGGCAGATGCCGACTTAGAAGCGTGTTTTTTTCATTAAAAAATATAATACGTCACATCTACGCTGACATGCGTGTAGTCGATGGGGAAAATCTAAAATATATGAAAATTATTTATAGTACTGAATATAATACGGTAGCGAGATAGATATAGCTTGGGACGTTGGGTACACATTCATCCGATACCAACTTGACAGTTAAGTTTTATCACTTAGATATTAATGAATTCCCCTGGCTTAATGTATTGCTAATGGGTTCGTGTTTTACCATGGGCCACATTGTTAACTGTAGCCGCACTGGTGTCGGGCAATTTCAGTCTTAGGGCAACGAAAATGATCATGAATATGTTTTCATTATCTAATGCCGTGACAGACGGGGCGAACATTCGATTGACAGTGCTTCTTGTTGCCTACCGGTTATCTAACCGCATTTTTTAACATGTCTTATTTTCCTTGAAAGCTACTGCATTGAGAATATCCACTGCTTTTTTGAAAAGAATCCTGGTTGTATTGCTTTATAAAACAAACGTAAGGCAGAACTACGCCTGTTGTTACACGCTGATGTTTATATAATGTTTGATTAGACCTTTTAGAATCCGGTGGCCCGAGAGAACAAACCGGAGCTTTTTCAATGGTCTGTTAACCTAGGTTTCGGAAAAACAGAAGTGTAGAACAGCATGCAAATTGGTACTCATAAAGTAAAGACGAAACGTTCTTTCTTTTCTTACTATAAACATACTTTCCCCTTAAATATAGTAGCTGCAGCGAGCCTTGTGTGTGGCAGGGTGTCTTTGGGTGCTAATTAATATATAGCTAAAGCACATGTCGATTCCTAACGTACAAAACGATAATGTTTATCGGTAGTTTGTAAACACTATATACCGACCTCGTATCGATCAAGCTTACCACATACGTTCAAAAAAATAAGTTGGTTTGAATGACCCTGACAGAAACAAGGGCAAAATGCTCCCTGTTATGCTAAAGAAATTGTCTTATACCTTTAATGGCACGTTATAGGAACACCACTGAGCAATAAGGGGCAATGGGAAGAAATGAACAGATTTCACGTAAGCGCTACCCATATAAGTGGCAAACGCAATACATAACAACAAAGCTACCGTAGTCGGAATTTACATGAAATTTTAATGGACTCCAGCATCAATTTACTTCTGTTCTTCAGTTCTTTAAGCGAAACTATACGTCTGGCCTATCGCGAGAGGTTGATTAAAACTACCCCATGCCTTACCGGTATGTACGTTGAAAGGGATGAACTAACAACAAGGAACACATGCCTATATCTTTATTATTATTTTATTTGTATTATTATCATGTGGCGATCTATAGAGAGATACAAAATAATAATATCTATGTACATTTATATTATTTGTTCAACTCTAGATGTAATCCTAATTACCACGTCAAATCGAGAAAACATACCAACATTTTTTCCGAGGTTTTAGTAACGTTAGCCGCCTGTTCCAAGTCTACAAATACGCGAAATTTTTATGAGTTAACTTATTTTTAACAAGTTCAACTGTAACAGTTTATAGATTGTGCGATGAAACCAGTCGTACAATATAAGTAGCAAATATTGCACGAATCAAGTCATAACATTTCCGCACAGAAATGCCGTCCAAATATTTTAGCTGTTATCCCTTCAGTCAAGCTAGATTCTTCTTAGAATCAGTCATTATTAGGCAGAGGTGTGATCTCCTTCTGATTTGTGTCCTCTCTGCAGCTTCAGGGAGGGCAGTTCTGTAAAGGGTATGGGGCATGCATGGAGGTAGCCCTGAAGAGAAGAGGCAGTTAAACTACTTTCAAAGTGCCAGTTGACCTCAACTGCAGGAGCGATGATGGCTGACAGAAGTTTATATATGCCTGAGCGAGTAAGCCCGAGACTGAGTTTCATTTTTGCGGATTGCGTAGGTCAGGCTGGATAGCTGAGAGCTGAAGAGGAGCGCGTACTGCTCTCAGCTATTCTTGAGAGTTGCCTTAGGACGACGACGACAGTTACAACTCAGCGTTCTTGAAGATGACATGAAGGGCCGGCATTCTTTTAGCGAACGGTGCGCTGTTGTCCCCGTTGCCTAGTGCTGCTGGACCTTAGATCCTTGGCTGAATGTTGATAATGGCACAACCACTTTTCAGAGTTGTCCGCTAAACTCGGAGACTTGCTTCGTTGAGCAATACGGAATTCTGGTTAGAAAAACGGAAAGAGAAAAGCGGATGTCCGTGGACACGACGAAGATAGAGAAGGCAGAGGATCACAAAGAAAAGCGGCGCGACCCCTTTATTGCACCCACTAAATACGAAGCTATATTTTCCCTCCATGGTTCCACATGTATCGGCAAGCTCGATACGGGCGTATTACCTCAAAGATATCTTAATTTTTATGGTGAGGAAAAGCAAGTGCAATGTCCACAAACAGAAAAGACAATACACAATAGTCTTCATCTCGAACATTATCGAAGGCTACACATCCCAAATACAACAGCAAATGATGAATACCTATACAAGAGCAAGAATAATGATATATTACTACGGAATGCAATGGTCTCGGCTATGTTTCATTTTCGGTAATAAACATTTTAAAGGTCTCTTTTTCCTGTCACCTTTCTACCTGTCTCTGTCCCTGCTTCCCTTAATTTTCTATGGAAGTCTTATGGTGCGTATCAGACGAACAGAACCGCTCTTCCGTTGGCCACGTGGAGTACCGTTTTAAAGACAGAGCGTAATACAACGTCTGTAATTTCTTACGGAAATTTTCTCCTGAAGTTTCTACCTAGAAACTTGCAGTTTTCTAGAAAAACTGCAGCGCAATGACGATCTGAGCGCGCATTGTTTTGTCGCTTAGCCATTCTCCTTTTTCAAGTGCACCGTCTGTGCAGGGAAATGTTCGCCCTTATGCCATAGCAAACATGTAATATGTTTATGCGTAAATTCAATTGATTGCAGCAGGCCGAGGAGCAAAAATACGATCGAATTTGGCCCAGTTCCGTTTCTAACACTTGCATAGAAAAAGATTTGTATACTTTTTAATTAATCACGTTAGTGACGTGCCGAAATTACGTTTGCAAGCCATGGTATATTGTTTTACGCTTAGTATTCCTGCTAATATGTGGACTGTACTCTTGTCTCGTTATGAAGCACTTAGACAGCAAACGCTTCTGCTTCTATGGTGAACAACAAGGGCAAGTCTCGGATACGATCCTATTATTGCATACATATAGGGATAGACGTGTACATAAGTTTTTCCGTACGATTTTGTTTGCCTGATGATAGAAACGATTTCTTTAAACAAATCTTTACGATATGGCAGGCGCAATCCCGTATGAAAGGCAGTGATAAATGACGGCCAATCTCTGGCAGCACGAAGCTTCGAGCCGAAACTTTCCAGGGAACAACTGCTGATGCACCCGCCAGGTATTAAGCCTTAGACCTGTCAGAAAAGCAGGAAGGAAACAAATCGGCATTCACTACCAGCGTCATAGTTCTGTTTTCTTTTGCACAAAAATTGTCCACAGTTTGTTTCCGCCGCAGATGAGCCTGCCATTACGGCCGTCGCTGTTTCCGCCGCCGCCGCCTCCGCAGTCAGCCAAGGCAGCCACACGCCTCTCGTTATTTTGTTATCGTTACCTACAGTGGCCACCGATAGTGATATGTACACTTATGACGAAAACTCACAAAAGAGATATTACTTGGATCTAATCTATTTTCTAAAGTTAAGTATCCGCAAAATGGGCACGTAACAGCTACATATAGTTATTGACTTATAACTTACGTATGCCGCTAGTATTAGTATCATAAACGGCCCCACGATGTAAAGCAAAAGAAGCTGTTCGATGCAGGAGCAAGAAGACAAAGTCGGTGTATCGTTTCCACTTTGAGGAAAAGCTCGTTTGGCTACCTGCTTTATTCATTACTCCCAGGAAAATAAGTCGCTCGCTTATACATAGCATTAATATTGATAAATATATTTGAAGGAACAAAGAACGAAACCAAGGTTTAGCTCACCGAGGTTGCAATGCACCGATGTTATTAAGACGATGGCGTCAAATCTAGCAATGTCTCGTTTTTGTTATAATTTAGTTAATCATACCGTAGGAGCACATACTTTGCAAATCATTGCTGTTTTCAGTTGCAAGATAAACATCCGTGCCGTTTATTGTGTAAACTAAAAGTGCACATAGATCGAAGTTACTCGCTCAGATACACAAAGACCTATGCTGCTTCATGATTATGTATATATATATATATGTATATATATATAGGATACAAAAATGCACAAGTAAATCTAACTTTATATTACCTTGTATATCGTACAATCACCAGCGTGCGGTAAACCAGTCTGTGAAGACTATGGCTGAGTCAATAGAACTTGAAATCTACACTAGAACTTTTATAAGTAAATAAGCTTTTTTTTTTTTTTTTTTTTATATATATCCTATTAGATTTACGTTGAAAAAGGTATGCAGTAAAAGTGCTTTTAAATGTCAAGTAATGTAATTAGTCAATTGAAAACTCGTCGACGGGCGTTAGTTAAACGTTGGTCTAATGGGAACAGTTATATTATGCAATATCAGAAGAGAAAACTGAGGAAATGTCCTTTGAAACGAATGAGCTTTAATGAAGCCTCAAAACTAGTTTGTTGTTTTGTTTTTGGAATTGTTGCCCTATTCGAAGGTGCTTCATGGAGTAATCTACCTACGTCGATAAGAATGTTTTAATAAAGGAACAAGATCCGTCTGTTATCAAAGACCTTTACTCTGCAATATCGATAAGCCTAGCGTACTAATAGACCAGTTAGCGGAATAACATGAGGCCGTAACCGACGGCTTCAATAGCCTATTGCGCATGCGCATATAGTTCGAGTATCAAGTCTACGGTATTATTGTTGATACCACTATGTATGTACTTTGTAAATTTAGGTAGATGAAGGAAAACTGACGAAA